GCATATACTCGCTTCTTTGTTCGGTAACTTGGGAGGTTCCAGGGGTCGACCGGTAGGTGAGACCTCGGGCGACGGAATGAGCCTCTTCGTTCCCTCTAAGGCCTTGGTGAGCTGGAGCCCAGACAAGCAGAATCTGCTCTTTGGGTACTCCTACCATGTTTAATATACGGACGGCAGTCTCCGTCACCCTTCCCGATTCGTAATTTCTCACAGCGTTTTTGGAGTCGCTGATGATCACCCTGATCCCCTTTTGGCTGATGGCCAAAGCTATGGCCACTTCCTCGGCCTCTACAGTCTCGACACCAAGTACTGTGCAGCACGCAATTAGGCCACCATCTCCCCTGACCGCCACTGCCGTGTGTGCCGCTTTGCTTTCATATTCCGCAGCGTCTGTATACGCGACGTCCTGTCGACCAGTGTACCTAGATTGTAATGCCTCTGCCCTGGCTTTACGCCTGCCTTCGTGAAAGTTAGGGTTCATATTTCTGGGTAGCGGAGGTATCTTTATCCTGTCCCTGATCTGTATCGGTATGTCTTTTGAACGCACTTGCTGACGCGTGGGCTCATAGCCTAATCTCTTTAGTATTGCTCTCCCCGTTTTAGATCCGAGTAGTCTTTGATGTTGTGCAGTCACAGTAGCCTCAATTAGCTCATCGAGTGTGTTAGATACCCCCAACTTCATAAGTCTGTCAGTTGACGTGTTTGGGGGAAGTCCGAGCGCGACTTTCACACTTTTCCTGATAATGGTGTCGAGTTTGCCCCGCTCCGCTTGGTTTAATTTTAAATAAGGTGCCACGTACACTATCCTACTTATTATGAAGGTCTGCACTAATCTAAGAAGGTTCGCCTCCTTCATCCCAGCATGCCTGTTTGCTATTCGTCTGATGAGACGACATGTCTGATTAGAACTGGCTTCCAACCTAGCAAGAGTTTCAGAATTCCTACGGTTCGCCTGAATCCTTAGTCCAAGGACACGGATACTGTCGACCGCGGGGATCTCTGCGCCGTTAACATACAAGTGGATGTCCACTTCAGGCTTGTTGTGGAGCCGCCGTTTTCCGGCGGGCGTGAGGAAGAGTGCTTCCGACTTTTCGGCCGAGCATTTAAGTCCTTTGGGCTCCAGGTACTCCACGATTTTATCAATGGCGATTTGCAGAGAGCCTTCAATTTGGCCGTCACTGCCCTTGTTCATCCATAATGTTATGTCATCCGCGTAAACGGTGTGATTTAAATTCTCAATATCCTTTAACTGTTCAGGCAGTTTCAACATCACAATGTTGAAAAGGGTGGGTGATAACACCGAGCCCTGAGGTGTCCCCCTGTTGCCTAATTTAATGTCCTCGATGGATTCTTCCCCGATTTTTAAAGTGGCTGTCCTGTTCGAAAGGAAGTCTTTGACATAATCATAAAGTCGCTTTCCGACATTCAGGGAGCTCAGACTCTCCAATATTGATACGTGCCTCACGTTGTCAAATGCTTTTGCCACATCTAAACCCACGATAACTTTTGTGTCTCGCGTTGGCTTGTCTATAATTTGGTCCTTGAGCTGTAGCATCACGTCGCACGCTGATAGTCGGGGTCGAAAACCGATCATGGTGTCCGGATACATACCATTGTCTTCCATGTACCTATTGAGCCGCGTCTGAACGACATGCTCCATGAGCTTACCTACGCAAGACGTTAACGATATCGGCCTAAGATTCTCGAAACAGAGTTTTTTACCCGGTTTAGGAATGAAAATTACATTTGCGAGTTTCCACTCCTGTGGTATCGTCCCTTTTTCCCAACACTCCTGCATGTACGTTGCTAGGTTAGCGATGGACCTATCGTCTAAATTACGGAGCATTTTGTTAGTCACTCTGTCCGGCCCTGCCGCTGATCTAGTCCTTAGCCGATTAATCTCCGCTCGCACCTCAGCCAGGGAGATAGGGGCGTCTAAGGCTGCGTTTTCCCGCCCTCCATAATCTGGGAGAGGTTCGGATCCGGCGGGATTAATGTATCTGCTCCGAACTTCTTCTAAGAGTTCCTTCCTAGTACCTTCAAATTGGTGCGCCATTCGTTCCAATTGTTGTTTAGACGCTGTCTTCGTGCTCTCCGGATCTAAAAGGTGACGAAGAAGTCGCCACGTCCCGGACGTACTTATATTTCTATCCATCTCCTGACAGACGTTCCCCCACCTTTGCTTCGTGAGCGTGATGGCGTGCTCTTCAATTTGCCTGTTTAAAGCTGCTATTTGTTTCCTGATACTCCGATCCCATCTCCTCTGTTGGAGTCGGTTTTCCAAAGCTTTCTTTTTCTTCTAAAGATTTACTAATCTCGTGTCTACCACTTCGTTGTCCTCCTCGGTTTCCACCACTTCAGTGGCTTCCTTAACAGTACGTAACACCCCATCGCACCACTCGGCAATGTCGGAAATGGGAGTCGGGTCGCCCCTGAGGTCCCTGAAAGAGTCCCAATTTACGGCCTCTACCCTTCGTTTCCGAGGTGTTGCCGGGCCTCCCTCTACCACTATTTCTATGATCATGTGATCACTGCCTAGGTCCTCGTTTGTGTTGCACCACGTGGCACTAGTACCGCTCCCCGTCAGGGTAAGGTCGGGTGTGGTATCAACCGCGACACTATTTCCCTTCCTTGTTGGCTGCAACGGGTCGGTTATCAAGTCCAGATTATGAGTTTGCATGTCATCCCACAATTTCCTGCCCTTAATTGAAGCCTGCTTATATCCCCATGCCGTGTGGTGAGCGTTAAAGTCACCGACGATCAGCAATGGGTTGTTCTTACTCTTACGTCGCGTAGAAGCGAAGAGATCCCCAAAGTCGCATCGCCTTTGTCTGGGAGAGCTGTATATATTTAATACGAATAAGCTAGCGTTTTTCTTTTTTTGGGGTATTAGTTCTATGAGAACATGGTCGATGTGTGCATTACCAATGTCATGCTGCACCGCCGTAACGTTTCGCCTGACCAGGGTGGCCACCTGCGTACTCGTGCCTTCGCTTACATAGGATTTATAACCCGGAAACGTCGCCTTTCTCCCACATTCCTGTAAAGCTATAACATCCGGTCGATCCCCTTTCCTCAGGGATTCCTGCAGAACCGCACGCTTGCGCGTGAAGCCTCTGCAGTTCCATTGCCAAACGGTGTTCTTACTGAATCTGTGTGCCATGATTGCCACTAAGGTGATTAATCGGCCTGCCTAATACTTCTTGGGCGAGCTGTTCATACGCGCGATCCCTCTTCGCGAATTCTGTTTTAAGTTCCTCGGTAAGTTTATTATCCCGCTGATGCAACTGCTGATTCAGATTTTGAAACATTTCGAACATTCGTTTCTCGAAGGCCTTACGCCATTCATCGTCCTGGGTAGATTTGGCTTCAATGTTTGCCTCCAGTTGCGCTATTTTCATGTCTATCACTGTCGCTACGTTCTCCTCTATTACGGGCTTTTCCGCTTCTTTTGCCCTCTTTTTCGCTGGAGGTGGAGTAGCGCTCTGTTCCTCCGGCATTTTTATATTTTGATTCTGTGGCATTTGTGGTAGGGAAACCGGTGTTGTGTTAGACGACTTAATAGCTATTTGAAGCTCCTCTATTTGCCGACTCATCATTGCTAGCTGCTCTTTAAGCATGCGATTCTCTTCCTTAATGGTTAACATTTCTTCATCGTGTTTATCCTGGGAGGCCCTATCTCCCCAACCCACCTTGCGGTTTGGCGACGTGGGTCTCCCACTGTTGAGGACAGCACTGCCGGAAGTCCCCTCGTTTACTGGACCAGTCATTGGTGGCAGATCTCCTTCTTGTCTTTCCGGTAGTCTTGGGAAGGAACCTGCTCTTCCTCTTGACCCTCTTCGATGCTTCGACCGGCTCCTGGACCGTTCTTTGATCTCTTCCATTCTGCACGTTTGTGGATCGGCGTCTTTCGCCTTCCGCTCTTCTCCTTCCATTCGCCGCCAGGCCTCCCACTGTCTCTTCTTTATTGTATAAGGGGTCCTGAAAGCTTCCTTGCATTTCCGATCTGCTGTCAGATGACCTTTGCCACACAGCTTACACTTGGGCTCACATGCATGGTCCTCGGGTGGAGCTGTCATTCCGCATCCCCGGCAGCGAACATGGTCGCTGATACACACGTCCGATCTGTGTCCTAGCTGGCCACATCGGTAGCACACCTCGTATCGTTTCTTATAAAGCACGCACTTCAGCGGTACGCCGTAACAGTACATCCACCTGGGCACTGTCTCATTTTTGAAGATGATGACCGCTGAACTTGAGTTACCCAGCTTCCTAACACCAAGTATCGGCGGGTTCCTTGAGTTGTCGAAGGCCTCTGTCAGTTCCTCTACTGACAATCTCGGGTCGATGCCGCGCACCACACCCCGCCCGCTATCCTCGTGCGGCGCGAGGTACGCCGTGACGTCATAGCTCTTGCCTTCAATCTTGATAGACTTAATCCTGGTCACCTTCCAGACAATGTCTATGTCTGGAGTGCTGAAAATCAGGGTGCCTTGCTTGTCGTTAACAATGAACACTTCCTTTTCTTGTCCCTTAATCCACGGAATTTGCGCTGCCATGCGCACCGCTTCACTGAGCCTGGTGTTCGGAATTTTTGTGAGCGCCAGCCCGCACTTCGGACGAATGATTATCTTGTAGTCGTTCGCCGGCAACCGCGGTAGGTACGACGCAATCGAGCGCTCCGCGATCTTGTGCCCCAGCTTTTTGTATGCTGCGTTCGCAGCCGCTGTCTTCTTCCTGTCTTCGCCGGGCTCGGTTCCACTTTCTGCCCGGGCGTTGCCATCTTGGCGTCCCTGTCTGTCACCTCTAGCGGCGTCACGCAGCTCTTTAACATGTTTTCCAACTTTCGTGATCCAGTCAGCGGTTCTAAATTCTTCAGGGGTAATTTCAGTACCCTCCACGGTCACCTCCATTGCCGTCGCGTCTCCACAACGGGGCTCTGAAGCGAACGCCGGGGGCGTCGGCCACCGCCGAGCCGCCGCGTTTGTTCACCGCTAGCGTTAGGCTTTGCTGGGCGGAGACGCAGTCGACACCAAAATAGCCATAAAATGCCCCAAAACGTACTCACAGTCCTGAAGTCGTGGTCTAGATGGTCCAGAGAACTTCAGGCAGGAGATTGTAGGAGTTGTTTGCTGTAACTGCACAATTTCCACCAGACCAAACAACTTTCCGCGGAGCTGATGCGAGGCACATCCGAACTCCCTGGCCCCCTGGTGGCCATCCATGGAAGCCAAGTATTCCTTCAAAGTGCTCATGAAAGAGACCTTACACAACTGTCACGGCAGGACAACGCCGATTTTGGTTGCAGTGTTGCCTATAGAATTTATGTCAGTGTAATGAACGTAACCTAACCATGACACTGTAAGCTATGGCCAAGCATTACGCGAGTAGCCTGCGACGGCTAGCTACATCTGACAAGCTCATCGTTGCATGGTGTACCGTTAGGCTTTCCTCGCGATAAAAACGACTTCCCTCTCTAAATGGCGATGTTACGTCAGACTGTGACGTACCGTTTACACGTCAGTGAGCTCGGAGTGCCTGTTGAGTCCATGATATATGCGAACTATAGTCAATTTACACCAAGGCGTTGATGCATCTCGTTACACTTGTCTGAAAAACGGAAAAGAAACGGCAGCGGCTGCTACTCGGTGCCTGCTTCGCTTGAATCTGATTTCCGAAGTGCACGGGATCAGTCGGATTTCTTTTTTCCGGACTGCTTCATCGTACAGGTTAATGAGATGACCTATACACATCGTCGCTATCGTCTGATGTTACTGACAAATCGTGCACTTCATCACCTTTAGCAATCTGTTGTTGCTATCTGTATACACTCACATTATAACGTAATCTACCAGCCAACTTCTTGAGGCGTGCCGTTCAATACGTGTCCCTGGCAGGATGTTGCGTGCCGTCAGTGTGCGCCTTCCTTTCTGACGTTCCCATCGCGGTGCCGCAGACCTGGACTCTGATATCAGCGTACAAATCTAGGACGGTGCAGCTGGTACATATTCAGCAAAGCGCACGTATATGCTATCTCGTGACGAGGAACATGCATCCCCGAAAGGGGTTTTTAATTTTAGTGGGACGCTATCTGGAACGCCTCCGTTTAATACGCAGCCACACCGTGTTTCCTCGTGCGTACTTTAATGGGCGAATCTGCAGGAAATCACGACTCTGTTTGTTTTATTGCCTCTTATCAGAGAACCCATTTCTCCCTCCCGGTGTCCGCGCACGCGCCCTTTAATCCCTCGGTGTCGTTCAGTGCTTCGAAGATTTCATCTGCTTCGGCGCATGGCCCATAAAATTCTCATTCGAAAGGCGTATATTAACGACGTTAGAAATCGGCATTCGTGACATGGCGAGGGGTGGCTTACTCTGCAAACTATCTTGGAGCGTGGCATTTCACGGCTCGGAGCACATCGCGTCAGGCCAAGCGTGTTCCGCTACCGGGACGTTACAGTTGTAGCAAGTCCCGTTCGTGCGATGAGGATTAGAGAAGGCGGAGAAGCCCAAAGACGAAGAATAAACGAAAGAAGTGTTACCCCTCTTGAGTTTCGCCGACTAGCAACTTGTTGCCCCGAAGAGGCGGAAAGTGGAAATGGTAGTTTTCTTCCTCTTCGTTATCTGCGCACGCAATCGTAGTGCAGAGGTCGAACTTTGTTTTTTATTGCATTTACCTTGGCCACTACATGAACGTTCGGAATGACGGCATAGCGTGGGAAAAAGAGAAGGAAAAATTTTGCTGTCGGAAAAAAGAAAACGGCGATCTTCACCAACTGTAGGATCGTAAACAAAGTTTATATGCTCACTGTTCGACGATGTTCTCTCAGTTGTATGACATTTTCATTGATAAGACGCTTATATAGAACTAAACGCCCTTATTCCACTTAATTATGAGTTCTTGTAAGCATCAAACTAAAAGTCAGAATAAAGGGGTGTCAACATTCGTGCCCCCAATCATGGCGAGCCAAGTCGAGGCTTCATTTATATGAGACACCATACAATGTGACGCGACTTGACAAGTCCAGATACCATTATTAAATAATTAATAGACGTACACAACAAATAAGTGGTGCTGTTTATCGTAGCGTCTTTTTACTGACGATCATAGTCGCCAAAAAATAATAATTCAGGGAATGAACACGTAACATAATTTCTAGAAGATGACTGAAATCTCAGTTGAAATTTGTCATAGCCCAGATATACGCGTATATAAGGCACCATGCCAAAAACATCTTAAGCGAGCAATAAAACTAATTTTTAGTTAACAGTAGTTTTGCTTGATTAAAAAAAGACTGCGAACTGTTTTGACAGAGGCCGGAGCCGTCAGTGCGTGAAGAGCGAGCAAAAAGCTACCATCGTCATGAACCGGAAGGTGCTGTCTTCGTACTTTTTTTTTTCATCTTCTACTTAGTTCCCAGATCACGTGCAGCGATTTGTCCGGCGTGGGATGCAATAACTGTGTTCGTAGAGAGAATGTATTCCGTCACCACGTGATCTTTAGGGGCGAAGCTCCTTATAGCGGCACCCGTTCGTCCCTCGTAGTCGTAGTAGTAGTCATAGTGTGTAACCAGTCTTACATTTTGACCTCCAAGGTGGTGCCGGTGAGATATTTCTTCTGTGCGATGTTGAACAATAAAAAATTCGCAGCGTGCGCGTTAACTAAAAGCCGAATTCTCCTGTCTCTCATTCCCCCTTAGCAGCCATTGGCATGTACATTGAGCACTATCTGACAAGAAAGGGTTGCTACGTTATACTCGCTGGGCGTAACCTCCTAGGTTTTAGAAAGGTTTAGCGAGCGTTGGGCCGCGGTGCCATGAATACAGTGAACTAGTATATACCATGAACTCGAGGTGGTTAAAGGTGCACGAAGTAGACACGAAGCGCAAGCCGTAAGAAAGTGTGCGTGTGCCTCCTCTCGTTCAGTCCTTGGAATGTCCGCTGGATGGCGGTGCTTCCATATGAGGAATATATGATGAAAAGATGCGAGATGGTGGTACTTGGGATGGAATGCAGAACTTTATTACAAATAGTTTTTTCCGGTGAAGGTGGAGCCCTCAGTCCAGGGCCCCTGTGGCCTTTGCCATCTTGCAAGCTCTGTCGATCAGCTTGAGCTGTTCTTCAGGCTTAGAGCAGGACAGCGCAGCCTCCCACTGCTCCGGTGTTGGTGTACAGGTTCTTGGCACTATCTGTGTGTGTTGGCAGGCCCATGTCACGTGGTAAAGTGTGGGGTGTTCTCTGCATAACGGGCATTTGTTCGTGTATGTGTTGAATAGATGGACGAACGGACACACAGACAGATGCATGGACGGACTCGCGGATGGCTGCACCGACAGATGGACGCATGGACGGATGCAGGGGCGGATGCATGGACGAACGCAGGGATGGACGCACAGATGGACGTGCGGACGCACGAACAGACGCACGCGCGGACGGGCGAATGGACGCACGGACGGTCACACAGATGGACGCATGGACGGACGGAAGCAAGAACGAATGGACGGACGGATGCTTCGCCCCACTCTCCATCATTCACTCCGTGGATATGCTGCCATTTTTTATTTTTCTTTGGAACGCCTACTTTCACGCCGACGGCCACTTTTCGCGTTCGATGAGGCATGAAAGGCCCTGCAACAATTTTTTGAGCACAGCCAGGAAACACTGCCGATCGAGGCTGCCAAGCAGACGTGAGCGAGCACGAGGCCTATAATTTACAATTAATTCTCAAAGTCATCTAGAAATCACTCGCTCCTCTCTCTGCAAATGCCATGTATACCCCCCCTTTCTGCGCCATATACTCACGCACACGGCATTTGGCAGATTGGAGCATTTTGAGCTGGGTATAGTTACCATGGTTGCCACGTGCCCGGGCGCCCACGTGTGATCTCGCTGAAAGTGGGCCACTCGTCCAAAAAACAAACAAACAAAAAAGAATTGGGCGGACCCTAAAGCTTCGTCTTTAGGAGTTGAACGTGATAGCAACATCCTCTTCCTATAGTGCGTACTTCAAACACTTAGTGCATGAAACCTTTTAATACTTGCTACGATATGAAATAGACGCAGTAGCGTGTGTGCCTTTTGTAGTGGGATACCGGCTGTCAACCCCGGAGCCAGTATGACAATATTGTATTCTGACGCCCATTGGCGATTGACGCTTGTACAACGCATTACTACTGCAATATTTCGTGTTGCATTGTAAAGCATGTACGCAGGACGCGTGTGGTTGTGAAACATGAAAGCTACTTTCACTGCATTTCCAAACAGAGGAAGTTATTTTCACTGTTTTTTTCACAAGCAAAGGCGTGGCCGTGAGGTAGAACAAGCGCTTGCCACGCAAACGAGCCGGGTTTGATTCATTCGGCCCCTACTGTGCTCCAGTATTTTATACTATTTATTTTATTTGCATCATTCTCGATTTTTCAGTCTTGCATAAGGTGATGATTTTTCGCTCACAACCAACGACGCCGACGCCTGAATTCCTGCGAAACGAGCTCTTTGACGCTATCGCTTTAAAAACAAGAAACGGGAGTGTTCATAATCATTTCGCGTGCTGACGAAGAAACGCCTCTTCTTGCTCCCTTGTCACAGTGCTCACTGCATGGCTTTCAGTGCGCTCGCTGACCCGAAAAGAGAAAGAGAGCGCGCTTGATGCGTGCCACAAACACCTTCTTATGTATAGCGCACCTACATTCTTAGAAAACGGTTTGTAGAAAGGTAGCAACTGCGAGCAAACAGGAAGTAACTGCAGCGCTTGCTACCTTCCTCGAACCGTTACTACCCTTCTGCAGCCTGTTTACTACCTACGTCAGTAAACAGTTACTAGCTGCAGCCTTTACTAACTTGTTGCGACCTATTTACTACCTATGTTAGTAAACAGTAACTGGAATGAAAGATGTAGTAACTGCACCCGTTACTACCTTTTTGCTACCCTGATGCTGACTGTTTAATCCAAAACAGTGTGTGATTCCGACTCTGATTATTTATTAGAGGAATCGTCTCGACGTATCTTCATCAAACGGAAAAATGACGCAGGAGATATCCATAGATAAAGAAAAAAAATTGTTTTAACTTACGCAACCGAGATATGTAAACGTCATTCTGATATTGTCAAAACGAAGAAGTACAAGTTAACAAACCATAAGCAAGTGCTACACGCGTTGTAATAGACAATTACAACAAACTTGGTAAATTGCAGAAAATTAGCAAGACCGGCTGATCAAAGTAACAAGACGGTCACAGT